TAGCAGCTTCTAACCTCGTTATAGTCAAGCTTAGAAACCTCTAGCCCTCTATAGTCAAGCATAGCAGCTTCTAACCTCCTTATAGTCAAGCTTAGAAACCTCTAGCTCCCTTATAGTTAAGCTTAGCAGTTTCTAACCCCCCTATAACTAAGCTCAGTACTCTCTAGCCCCTCTATAGTTAAGCTTAGAAACCTCTAACCCCCTGTAGTCAAGCATAGCAGCTTCTAAGCCCCCCCCCCCATAACTAAGCTCAGTAGCTTCTAGTTCTCATAGCTGACAACCTAGTACCCTCTAGCCCCCATAGCTGATCCTAGCGCCCTCTATCTCCCCACTCCCGAGTCCAACGCCATCTAGTTCCCCATAGTTGATCCCAGCACCCTCTACTCGCACGTTCCTGGGTCTGGTGCCCCCTAGCCCCCCCTACCCGCCCCTCGTAGCCAAGCTCAATACCCTCTAGCTTTTCTTTTTTTTCCTTTCTTATTCTTTTATTTCGTTATTTTCGTTTTACGAAGAAGAGAAAAGTACGATGAATGTATTATTGGGAATGTCGCAGGCATTTTTAACCGAGGCCCCCAGCGCACCCGCTACCTTCAAGACAATACTTGTTCTCGGTCCCTCGAATTTTCGTCGCTCTCGTGGAACAATGATTAAAAAAGAAAAACACTTGCGACGACATTCCTCATCTCGAGCATCCATTTTTGGGCTTCGACCGCAATTCGTATCGTTAAAATACACAGATGTAGTTCGTGTAAAAATTAACCTCTTGAGGATTAACCTGTATATACAATTTTACGTAAAAATTATAGTTACCTACGATCGTTACACCGTTTCGTAATTAAAAAATATATAATACTAAAGCGAAACAGCATGTCGAAATCGATTCGACAGATAAGGATTGCTTTGCTTTGCATCTACGTATTAAATCGAAGGAAATAAAATGTTCGTTAAGATCCCCTCGAGAGGTTATACGAATTTATAACCTATTTCCGAGCGAGAGAGAGAGAGAGAGAGAGAGAGAGAGAGAGAGAGAGACCGAGCGAGGAAGAGAGAAATTTTCTTCTTAAATTTCATCGTTTCATCCTTGTCGCGGGGCTCTCCGTTTTTATTATTCGCATGATATTTCGTTTTTGTTTCTCGCCTCATTTTTTCGTTCATTCTCTCGTTTAATTATTTCCTTATCCGTATCACAGCCATCTTTAGCACTACTGGACTTCGGGATTAACCATTTCGCACATCTCCGATCCGTGGAACCTTACGATTTACTAATTAACGTTAAACTTAGAATCTTTCGGGCTTATTTACAGTGCATGTAGCAGCTTGGATGTTCGAAACGCGCGCCATTCTTTTGCGGCTACCGTCTAGAGAATTTTTGAAAAAAGAAAAACGAAAAATAACCTAATCAACAGTGTAACTGTTCGATTATTTCTTCGGTTTTTAATATTCACGTTGCCGTGCAAAAAATGTATTATTTATCCTCTCAAAGGATGGACATATTTACAATCGGATAACTTTTAAAATTATAAAAAGATATTTTACGTCTTCTCTTCTTTTCTTTAGGAATTTTTGTTCTCGTAAACAATAGAAGTTCTCTCTACAAGGTGTCCCAAAAACGTTGGAAATCCTTGAAAGAGGTGATTCGGGAGGTGATTTGAAACAACTTTTTCCTTAGCGAAAATGTTGTCCGAGGCTTCGTTGAGGAGATATTAACGGAAAACACTGACCAATCAGAGCGCGAGGCGGCCGCACTCCCCGACCAATCCTACCCCGAGTATGCCGGTGGAGCGCTCGCAGTAGCATATGAGCGCGGCCGCCTAGCGCGTAGTCTTCGCTACCGCGGCCGCTCCAACGGTATACGCGCGCTCTGATTGGTCAACGTTTTCCGTTAATATCTCCTCAACGAAGCCTTGGACAACATTTTCGCTAAGGAAAAAGTTGTTTCAAATCACCTCCCGAATCACCTCTTTCAAGGTGTTACAACATTTTTGGGACACCCTGTATACTTTATTTTGATCGAAGAAGTGACAAATATTTTTTATAGACAATTTCAGATCTTCATCAAAATCGACAGAGAAGCTCCTTGTGAATTTACTTAAAAAAAAAAAAAAAAAAAAAAAAAAAAAAAAAAAAAAAAAAAAAAAATCATTTTTAAAAAAACCTCACTTTAGAAAAAACCTCTTTCTATATTTTCTGTAAGCTTCCGTGAGATCTCCAAGGAGAAGAAGTTCGAATCCAAAATATTCATTATTAAATGCACCACAAATTTGTTGAAATGAGTCAAAAATTTGCATGTTTTTCCACCCTCTCTCACATTTTTTTCCCTATTCCGTTCTACACTAGTATAATTAGCATAATACCCTCCGTATTTCAAAAATTACCCAAACTAAAATGAAGTTTACGCCCCTCCCCCTTGCTTGTTATAAATGAATCATTCGAATTATTTTCGAACGAAAGAACGGCGCGTCGTTTCGTGATACATTCCGACGTACTCGAGAACCTTACGCGTTAATATTTCTAACTTAATTACTAATTAAATTCTGAAACGATAATACAATATCCAGCCTCCCTTTTATCATCCCTTATGCTACGGCATTTGATTTCTGTGCACCTCCAACCTTCTAATCTAATGGGTATCTCGTGACGAATAGGAATCATCAGCGTGCGTGGCGTTAGTGTGC